TTGTAAACATACTAACATTCGAAATTCTTAAGCAGTTCGGATGAAGCTTATTGTGAACTAATTGTGGCATATGGAGCGTTGTTTTAAATTTCAAATAAGTACTAAAAGTTATGGCAAAACAGAAAAATCAAGTGAAATTAATAAAAATATTATCTAATTATCTGAGTCAGAGTTAATTTTATATGATTATCATTATTATTTTATGTAATAATTCATTCCTTATTTTGCATTGATTTATTTGTTACATACAATGTATAGCTATTTGCTACTGTAATGCTATAATAGTTGCGATAAATATTGTTAAGACAAAATTGTATTGCGGTAAACTATCTTGTGATCAATTATATGCGATAAATTGTTATGCGATTGTTAGACGATGTCTAGATTGTTATGAAGTTTCATAATGGATGGATTCTTCACACTAATCTGAATAACCGTTTATTGTAAAAATGTAAACTCACAGACTGTGAAATATATTTATAATGAACAAAAAAAAAAATAAAACTGTCGAGTGGAAGATTATTTACGATAAAATGACAGGGTGCCGTTTAAAAGCGAAGGGATATGGAATTACCAACTACGGACATTAAATCTGAAGGAAAAACCAACCTTGGTCGGATATCATCGCTGTAAATTGCGTCCCGTTTCAAATTTTTTATGTAAATTGCGGCCCGGGTACATTATATACATACGTAAATTGCGGCCCGGGTATATTATATACATACGTAAATTGCGGCCAATTATATTTGTATATTTTAATATATTTGCCTACTTAAATATTTGTCATTGTTATGTAAATTACAAAATCAATATTTTCCTTCCCATTTTTCAGACTTAGGACTGGCAATATAATTGTATTCATATTGGTATGGTTAAAAATATTGGTTTTGCTGTTTTGTTTATAATTAAAAATAAGTAAAAATGTGTATAGTGAAAAAAATAGTATTATGAAAATTCGAATTAATATACTGGTAAAAACTTATAAGATAATTCCCGCACATAGTCTAACTGAGTAATATTTTTTGCTTGCAATTCATACATTTTGTCATGTATAAATGATTCTTTATCAGTCATTTTTTTGCTTTTTGTTCCCTGACTTCTTAATATAATATACGTATCACATTGCATGTTTTTTAAAATTTCAATAAAATTAAATATATTTGGGTGTGACGAATTGAACGAACTATTTAATTTTTTATGAAATGATTCACAATTATTTGTAGTGCGCATCGTTGAGGATACAAATTCAGCCCATATCTGTGGTGGAAACTCCGCGTCGTCGGTTATATATGTTTCTAATATGTAGTCGGTAAATTGTACTATCCTATTATCTTGTGGTTGCAATGCCATTATATCAAACGCAAAACAATCTTCAACCACATCACAACTCAAAAAAGGAAGCCCAAAAAATAATTTTAAGAAATTACTTATATCGGTATTATTTCTTTTGTAATCATTACTTAATCCTAGCTGCTGTATTTTCCTGTACCAACTTTGACCAAGGTGAAACCTACACCCTTTTACTTCAATAGAAGGCCAAACATGTCTTGCAGCATTGTGAATAGCCTTTTCAAAATCGGCATATAACCGAATAGGATTAAATTGTAAGTCATTTTTTTTGCACTCTTTAACTAAATGATGAAAAGCTTGTAAATAACACTGTGTAGTCTTCGAAGGTAATAAAATATAAACGAGTGGAACATAAGACTGATTTATTGCACAGTGAACAGTAAATAATTGATGGTATAATTTTGGACAACTTTTGAATGTACCATCTACAAATATAGTATCAGAATCGCATAGCACTTTTAAATTGCTTAATGTAGAGAAACCTACTATATTTGTTTCTTTACTATTTACTAGCAAAAAATTTTCATTTTTGTTTGTTTTGAATTCCATTTTGTCAAAAATATTATGTAATTCCAAAAAAGTGTCTGGTAATTTTGGTAGTATAGAAGCTCGAGCATTGTGTAAATTTCTTTTAATCAATTTTACGTCTTGTGTAGTTAAAGATTCGACATCAGCATTTTTTAACTCAGAATGAATAATTTTCGATGGCCTTGTAAAAATATCATCAACGGCTTTTCTTTTTAAATTATTATTAAGTTTTTGACGATTTATAATTTGTTCCGAAAGTTGTAGATGGTTATGATCTTTAAAGCTATCTATACATATACTATTATTATTAAATTTTAAAAAACACTTACAAGTTTTGACTGTACAACACCAACGTTGAATATCATTCTTCAGAAGTTTTTGAAAACGAAATTTAAAACCATTAACTATTTTCAACGTCTTATTTTTTTCACTTTTCATAACTTCCATTGTTATTAAATTTAAAAAAAAATACAAATACTAAACCAAATACCAAATACTGTAGACCAATGTAAAAACTCGTGCGAAATATTTCGATCAAATGCACACAGCACACTGGCGGCTAGTAATATTATATAGGTAAGTATAGATCTTATCGATCAATATTAAAGATAATAATATAACCAGCCGACCGGAAATCGGAATATCCCGGGCCGCAATTTACGTACATTTCAAATATACCCGGGCCGCAATTTACGTATGTATAAAATATACTCGGGCCGCAATTTACACAGTATATAACTATGACCTTTTTTGCGGGACGCAATTTACCGACTCCGCATCATGACTTATCAAGAAAAATGGGGTCTACCGATTTAATAATAACAATTAAATATATAATAACGTCGACAACACACAATTTTCGTGGAATGCATCTTGTTTGTAGTGCGGAGAACAACAAATAAATCTATGGATCACGCAGGTTATGTCACATATTGTAATACCTGTATACCCTGATAGAGCAAGATCGCAAATAGAGCGCCACACAAAATATAAACGAAATTTGTTCTAGGGGTCGGGGTGACGGGGTGGGAAAACGTAGACCCTGCTACAATATATACTGCGCTCCAGGCTGCTGACACATGCATGTATATTTTTTTTTCGGAAAGGGTGACTATAGAGATATCCACATACCGAGAGAGAGAGAGAGAGAGAGAGAGAGAGTGGATATGGCGGACCTCGGTAAATAGATGATTTTTCGACCGAACTGCGACGAGCCGCGTTGTATAAAAATCACCGGACGTCCGGTCGAACCGACAGCGTGATTTTTATTTTGATTTTTATTTTTTTTCCACCGGAATTCCCTAATTACACGCACGATCCCCCACCGCCATCTATTGTGTTCGCGAATCGGTCGGCCCAATCTGTTTCGATATATATATATATATATATATATATCATTATACCTATACACGCATTACATGCATATACTGCACATTAGGCACATATATACACAAACACATACACACATGACGATGTAATAATAATATAAATACATATACATTGCAATACTCGGACCGTGTTTGCGCAGATAAAACATATCTCTCCTGGGGAAAATGGCGTGGCGTCTATATATGTACCTATATATATATAGATTCTTGTCAAGGGGGTGTAATGCGGACTGGTGATGGGTGGGTTACAGTGGTGGAACGGGGTGGGGGGTATGCTTTTCGTCCGTCGTCGGCCTACGAAACTCGCGGGTACATACGTGTATAATAGTATATACATAGTACCTATGTATAGTATATTCAGTCGGCCGCGGGTCCGTAAGATATACGGTCCGGCAATCGGCTGTGTGGCAGCACCGATAAATTTCCGAAGAAACCCTCAGAGTCGTGCCCCCCCTCCCCCCGATTTCATTGGCTTGGGTACACGGGCGTATATACTGCACATGGTCCACGGAAAGATGTATGTGCACGTATAATGTGTATATATATATATATACGTACAAACGATATGCAAGAGTTATCCGCATCGCCCGGATGGTTACCTGTACCATGTTACCGACGAGAGAGGTAGCTCGCATATTACATTGGTATATGGATGTATGCGTATAATAATATAGTGCACGCGGAAACTTCTTCACCCTTTTCTGGAGCCGAAATGGCGGATTGATTCATTTCTTTTCAACTAGGTACCTACAAACAGAGTTTGGCAAAAAACTCCCTGATTTGAGAAACTAATAGAAACCAAATAGGTAGGTAGTAGAATATAAAAAAATATATTTTTTTTATTCATAAATTGTACATCTAACATGCCATTTTATATAAATTATTTCGTAAAACTATACCACCTACACTGAAAAAAATAGGTATTCTGTTAGGACAACTGAAATACAGTAGTTACTAGTTACAACCATGCTTACCGGTTGGCTCAGGGACAACAATACAAACAATTACAGTTACAAACTTATTTTTGTTAACTAATTATTGTCATGTGTACAAATTAGTTCGTTTCAAATACAAAACGTGATTTAGGTTTGCATACAAAATTCATAACTAAAATGTTAGAATTACAAATTAATTTGTAGGTGTGCAGGAAAATATGTCATAGGTGTCACAAAACATTTAGTTAAATTTGTTTGATATTAGTTACAATAACAATGGATGTTCTTGGTGGCTTACAAGTTATTTTGATACCAATACAGAACTCGTTTGTAGTAACTACATACTCTATCATTAATACAACAATGCAATTTAGTAAACATTGTTGTTTATATCTGTTATCTCTACGAAGCAGATCAATGATATACTAATTTTATTTCTGTTACAATTACTAAACATTCAGTTGTTACAGTGCTCGAATTCTGGGGGGGGGACTTATTTTTTCATTTTTTTTTTATCACTACCCCTCAAATTGTTTTCCCAATTGGCTTTATAAATTATAAAAACCCAAAGGGAAATTGAAACAATACTTACTTTCTACTTAACTGCATCACCATATTATTTTTCCAATTTGAGCACTGATAATGTAAGCATAATGGTTATAATAAGGTAAAGAAATATTAACATAAAACAATGACTGCCAAATTGATTTTCTTATACATGTATTTTCAAACAAATTTTAAGTAGATACATAAAATACATATTTTGTTACATAAATAATAAATATAGCAACAACATAATTTAAAAAGGACTTCTTACAGTTATATATTTTGTTCCATTTGATACAATATTTAAAGTATTTGTTACATGAGAAAGGAGTAAATCCTGAAATACATAATGAATATTATTGGTTTCTGGTAATGTTATTTCATAACAGTAATAATGTTCATCAAAGCCGATTGTTGTTAAAATGTTGCACTCAAAAATTACCCTGTTTTGCGCATAAAGAAAAACATTCTTTACAATAGCAAATTGAGGATTATTATCATTTAAAATGTCTAACGTCAATATGGTTTTAGGTTTGTAACGAGTTCCTCCCACTTCAGCCCAATTTACTCGAAATAATGATTCACCTATATTCAGATTTAGTTTATTTTGAATTTGATACTGTTTTATTGAGTCCAATTCTATTTGAGGTCCTACTTTTATTTTATTACATAATTTACCATTAATAAATGTTTCATTCAACTTAAGTTGGTGTTTGATTGCCAAAGTTTTGCAAATATTACGCCTATTGAATGAAGACCTGGCCGAAATTTTTGATACTTTATGTTTTGCTTCATATCTCATAGACCATAGGTGAATTACGGGTCCAATTTTTTTAATTAAAGAGTGATAGTGTGTTAAAAAATGAAATTTTGGTTTTAAACTGTTTTTACTATACTTTAAATAAAGATCATTAATTTCAGCAACTAAGGTCTGAAGCATTGAACAACTGCCTAATTCAAGTGATGTTGATAATATAACATCCATAACTCTCCGCATAGCAATATATAGACCCCAAACTGGTTCTTCTGAGGGTACAAAATCACCAACTAGTAACCCAAAGTACCTAATTAATGTCAATATTTCAGATGCAGATTGTCTAATATTTCCTTGTTTAATATAATCTTCAGTTAGTGCACACGGCTTATTGTTTTCAGGTCCATAGTCAAAGCAAAATAGTCTGTCATTCAATACTTGTAGCGTAAAAAGCTTTAATTCCTTAATATAGTATTTTAAAATAAAACTCATAATATACTTAGAACACCTTTCCAGCATGACATGCATGACATCTACTCCTAATTAATCAAACAAATTAAAATTATTCACACTAAACCAAATACACTCTTCTTTTATACCAGTAGCAGACACATCATTCTGTGATAATTGAGCATAATACTGCTCAGTATGTCTTAATAAAATCTGATATTCATAACATTGAACCCACATATGTTCTTTTCTCATTGTACACATTCTACACGGAAAGTTTGAGGAGAAACTCTCAGTAAAACCTGTGATGGAATGTAATCCTAAGTTGTCACCTAAAATAAGCCCCAACTCAAAATATAATTTACCTTCATAATCTGGTGTACTTATTTCAATACCAGTTTCTTGTAAAAAATTTAATTCATCTATTAGAGGCTGAAAAATAATCCTATTTCCAAATTCAACCCTGTCGGCAGAGTGAAAAATTAAGGCTAGAAAAATGTTAGATAATACTGTAGAACGATAAGAAGGTAAACATGGTACTGAGACATAAACTCCTCCTAATTTATGTATTCCAGAATGGCTACCAAGGGCATTGCCACTCTCAAAATCATTAAAAAATACAAAAAGTGGAAAGACAACACGATCATTGTGACTAACAGCTCTGCTTTGCCAATATGTGCCTTGAATAAAGTTTTGAATAACTTTATTATCTGATTTTAAAGTTTTCATATGGTCTAATGTTTCAGAAAGCACATTTTGTAATGAAAAAAAATTTTTTAAAACATTTCGTAGAGTCAGAGATATAAATTGTTCTGTACAAATAGAAGGTTCTAGAATGGATATACCACTTTTAACAACTTTATTGAGTCTTTGACCTATAACCATTTCTTTTAGTTCTATAAAGGAACCTTGCTTATTAAAATATGAAAATCTTTTATGTTCAGTTTTAAAATTGTTTAATGCACTTTCAATATCTTTTACAACATTAATAAAAGAACCAAAACATTCTTTTGACATTTTGCCTTCAGACAACAATTTCTGTGCACTACTTTTTACAAAAACACCAATACCTTCTGAAAGTACTGTTTCCATACCATCAACAACAATTTGAACAGCATTTCTGGGCATTATAGTATTTGCATACAAACATGCTAGAAATGTGCTTAATGTTTGTTTTAAAATTTCGACGGGTTCTATGGTAAATGTGCTTTTTACTCACATTAGATGGAGGTACAAAATCAGAATTATCATTAGTAGTTGCTGTGGACTCTAAGAGAATATTGTTTTCGAGTAAAACTTGTGAATCCAATGAAATCTGTACTAAATCTGTTCTATGTTTTACTAAATGTTTGGTGTATGAATTTTTAAGTAAAATGACCTACTACATTCTCCTTGAGCACAATAATACACATCAAATTTATGATCCGAATGTATAAAATCAAAATGTCTTAAGAGAATCTTTGTATTAATAAAAGTTTTTTTACATAAAAAAACAAGTAAACATATTGTTTTAAAAACTAAGAATATAAAAATTAAAAATAATAACTATGATATTTGAAGCAGGGTCTTCTTTAAATTTACAAAATAAAAATATTCAGTTTTAAATAGTTATTCCAACATCTGATAAAAAAGCATTGACTGCTGTAAAGTTTTTATCCAACGGTGTATTTAATTTGTATAACCCTTTTTGTATAAAATACCAAACAGCTTCACTCTCTGATGGATAATTAGCATTAAGTGTGATTATAATTTTGAAACAACAATCGACTGCTGAAATGATTGAATTTAAACGATAAAATGTATTATCAATTACAACAAAGTAACTAGATATCTCTTTTAAAGAAGAACCCACTATTAACACAAATGGCTGTAAAGTTTGGCCTAATCCTACCAATTTATCTCTTCTTCTTGATATTGTTTCTTGTACTTCGGCACTACTCAGCACATGCGTTATAAAACCATCTCTCATCTCTACTTTCGATGGTCTCCATTGCAGTTTTGCTTTTTTTCCTTTAGAAATGGACACGCCAATCAGAAATGGTAGACACAGTAAAACAGCAAGATTCGAAATGTCCTCGTTTTCTAAAAAAAACCAATACATGTTTTAATAGGTACTTTAAAGTAATATTTTTATAAAAAAAAATGCCTATTAATCATTATAATCATTTATGGATTCTTTAAATTTTACTTTTTAATATATTATTTTTATTTTAAAACAGAAATTGTTAAACAAAACCAAGAAACATTAATTTTTTTTTATACTATTATACTTTTAACCTTTAAACCAACTGCGAAAATACAAAAACCATTTGTTTGAGTACCTATAGTTTGATCATTTATATTATTTAAAAAAATCAGATTAACAAAAATGACTATAATATTAATGATTAACTTTAAAAACATTAACAATTTGGTTTTTACAATTAGAGCTTCAGAGCTCAACTGCACATACTCCTTCAAAAGTTGATTGGTTGAAAGGTCCTTAGATTTATTAATTTTCTCTGTTGCCAGTTCGGAAATTTTATTTTTGCACAGTGGTAGACTTTGATACAATCGATCACTAAATCCAGGATAGGCCACATCAAAGTCTTTAAAAATCTGAAAAAAATTATGTTTATTTTTATGATGAAAGACACAAACATATTTAAAATATTTTCCATACTCACAAGAGTATACCCAGCAGGTTTTCTTAAAGATGGAAATTGTGCCATATACTCAGCAATAGTTGGACTATCTTGAGACATTAATTTCTTTAGTCGAGTATTAGCAGTAGTGATCCATTTGTTTTCAACTATATTCCACGGATCGCTTGAGTTTTGCAACCAATTCAAATTGTCCTCAATTAATGCTTCATTATCTTCTGTTTTGTCGTCTAATGAGCGTAATGCTTCTGGTAATGGAATGGGAGATGAATGTTCTGATGAAGATGTAGAACTGTTTCTAGATGGACTGATTAATCCAGATTTACGATAATCTCTTCTTTTATTATAAAGGCAATCCAGAAGTTTTCCTTTTGCTGCTCTTTTAAGTCCTGGGCCATAAGATATATTATACGGTATGAAATATGTTGCAGTATGTTCCTTATTAAAAATTGTTGTTATTTGGTATGCCAAATCTTGTAACCTTGATGATGGTACTTTGCGATGGACATCATCTTGAAGTTCTTTGTTGATTATTATATTACACAGACGCTTTCGGCCAATACTATCCAGTAGTCCACTTTTTAAATAAGTTGCCAGTAACCCTCTACCAGCATTGGCACTTTTGAGCAAATCTAATAACTCCTGAGAAAAAAATAATAAATACAATTATCACTAATTTGAATGTTAATTTAAAAGTTAAGTTTTATTTAAATTAAAAAATATAATCCAAAATGAGAAAGTTTAACGGAATTTCAAACTATAGCTTACATTAACTTATAATTTCATAATTTAAAATTTAAGTTTTAGTTAATAACTAATATTTCATAAGTTTAAAGTACTGAAGATTATTTAAATGATCATCTTATATAAATTAACTTGATTAAATGCGTATAGTAAATTTAATACATTGTATACTTGATAATTTAGATTAAAATTTTTACTAACTGAGTTGAATGGCTGAGCGTCAGACACATCTTGAGATGTACTACTATTTTCTTTGATCAGTAATTCTTCAAGTTGAAGATAAACTGTATTGCTGAACGTATTACCTTCAAAAGTTTGCGGTGATAAAATCTAAAAAATAAAATTATAAACTACAGTTAGTTATCTACATAAAATTTACATTAATTTGATACTTAGTACTAAGTTTTAAAAACAAAACAAACAAGTCGAGTATATTATTCTTGATTAATGTACAAATTTAAGTTAAATCGAGTTAAATAATACAATGTATTTTAAGTGCAACAATACATAATTTACTGCGAAAAACTAAACAGGTAGGTACATATTAAATGTATATATTACCCATTAAATAAAATCTTTGATCACATACCTGAGATAAATCACTGTTGTCTAATGTTTGGAAGCTGCAATTATCTTCAACTGTTATAGAACTGCTAGCCAAACTACCACTGGATGTATGTGAATCAGTAATCTTAAAAAATAAATTTTAAGCCTAATCAACAAGATATAATTTCTTACACAAAAATGAAATGTAAAACTTTAGGTACCTATCTAAATTAATAAACAAATCTTAAAATTAAATATATTAGGTGTTTGGCAATAGTTAGGTATATTGTCATATTTTAAATAGTACCAAAGCAATAAAAGCAATGACTAATATTTTATAAAAGGTGATTAGTTCGCAACCATGTATTTGTAAAAATGTGTGGTTGTTGGTACTAGGTACCTAGTATAGTTGAGAAATAGTAAAATTAAATATAATTATTACTGTGTTTGAGACGTTTGAGGTATTCGGCATTCCTGAATTAATAATCGCTCTCCAATCTTCTAAGTTTGATATAAAACGAGCTCTGTGACCAACTGATGGGATAAGTTCTTTGATCATATTTTCTTCTTTTAAGAAGAGAAGAGTTTTTATGTCTATGTCATTTTCTATGTAAAAAAATCATTAATATTTTTAAATAATTTTTTTTTTCATCATAAGCCAGCTGCTTGCTTATTAAGTTAAATTAATTTAATCATGTTTGAGTACCTAAATTTGGTTTTCATACTTTTCAATCATTACAGCTTTATAATTTAAAATGGTACAACTAAATAAAAAGTAAAAAGGTACAAAATTTAATTCAAATTCAAATAGGTAGGTACCAAAAAAAAAATGTTTTCAAAATTATTTAGCCATGTTACCAACTATAGATAGTTATCACTGTGTTAACCTAACAAACTATTTTGTAAATTAGGTGGAAATATAACTACCTACCCTAACCTAACCTCACTTAAAAATATGTGAAGGAAATACTCTCATGCGAGCCATCGAGGATTATTAACTAATATGTTGTACAAACTTGGATAAGTGTTTCAAATTATGAACACTAAATATCTACATTAGTTAATATTAGAGAAACAAAGCGTGATAGAGTGGTCATATCATACAAAGCTGAATTTTAATTTTAAATGACATGCCCCTAAAAATTGAAAACCCAGGAAAAAGTATTTTAGCAAGGTGGGCTAACGCTGATCACAAACACATAATTTCAATGTTATAATATTAAATGCATAAGCAATAAGAAAAAAACAAAAAATTGAAAATGTGCTATATGAGAAAGTTGAAGCGTGTTGCACGTGTTTTACACTGACAATTTTGTTAAGTCAGTAATTAAGCTAAATAACTAATAAGCAGACAGCATTGGCAATTATCTTTAATATAATAATATATTACATTATTAGTATATTAGCCATTAACTAATTTAATAAAATTAATCTTACCTTCAAATACAGGAATGTATTGTTGTAAATTCCATGCTGTCAAAAAATCTTTGACATCCTGATCAGCCATTATTCGAATAGTAGGTATAACCTTTTAAACACGATACAGTAAACGCACTTAATACAAAAAGTAAATTATAAACTTACTAATAATTAATTAAATTATTAAATAGTAAATTATTTTCTTTGTATATGATAAAAATGCGAAAATGCGAATATTGCGAAATACCGAAATGAGAAATGACTGTTGTCGTCTGTTGACACACCAATACACACACACTGTACGGTTAGTGGTTACTGGGTTATTCCGTAGTTCTAACAAAACATTACTCTAATACCTATCTGTTATGTTTATAAAACTTTTTGTAATCATCGCTTATCATAATCGTAAAATCAACCAAAATACCAGTGACGCGTACTAAATATATAGTTGTTTTCTCTTTATATTTGTAAATTTGTTGCCCTAGCTATATGCTTTGTTGTAAACACATAATATACTTTGGTTATAAATACCAATTTCCAATTGGTAATTTTGACAGCGTATTTAATTATACACACAAGTATGATTTATTAGAGACACCAAATATTCTGGTAAAAGTATTTAATTGTAGTACCTATGCACTATCCAAGTTGTATCAGTTACAAAACAACTTGTACTTGTAACTAAAGTGCGATTAACAAAAATAGATTTGAATATATCATAGATTACATAGTTATGCCAAGTGTACAGTTTGATCTATTTTGCTATATTCTGGTTATGCCTACAATTTCTCATCTAACTGAACACTTCTATTAATTATTTTATTCATATTTCTTTCAGTGTAAGTGGTGGTCCTCATTCACGATGGACCGATTGAGATTATCTCCGTAGTTGTCTATGACCTTATGGCACCGACTTCCTAGTTTATTACCAAAGTTCTCAGATGCTTATACACTTGAGCTTTGGAATAGCCCCAGAGAAAAAATCTCATGGCTTCAAATCTGGAGGACACGTTGGCCATACAATGTGGTGATTCGTTCACTGCCATTATCAATATACTACTTGACAACAAACTCACGGTGCTCTCCCAATCAACCCATAGCAAATACTAACAATGGTATGGAATATGGATAAAGCTTTCCGTCGATGAAAATACTAGGCACTAAAATGTTCCTCCCAAAACCCAAATAATAAACTGAGGAGTTAATTTTTCCGTACCCCATATTGTCGTATGATTATAACGGATTAACTTGCATATTTTTCTGAATCTTTAAAACATTGTTTTTCAAGCTCAAGGCTCGTTTCATACCTACATCAAAGAACTTTTATTTGGAAGTTTTTGGAATTATGTATGGTATTTTTTTTAAGCATATGAGTACATTTTTCACAAGTATATGTATATTCATAAAACTGAATGTTTGTCTGTCTGTCCTAAATGAGTTCCTATTTGACAATTTGAATTTTTGATGAAATTGTTTTTCTGTGTTTGAGTGGTTTCTTGGATGATTTAGATTCACAATTGGACCCAATAGGTCCAACCCGCGGGGAGGTGCTCAAATGGGGATTTGGAAATGTTTGTGTATAAATGATTGCTATTGGGTAAATCGGATAAATAATTAGTAGAAATTAGTATTTATTATTTAATTGGTTGCCATGGTCAATCGGACTGCAGATCATGTACAAACATGCAACATATCGACTTATCACTCATTTTCTACCAAGGAGGCTGAAGAAGTTGAATAATCACAATTTTTTAAGAGCTGTCGTTTTTACGAACACTAAAGTCCAGCTACTTGCATATAAGAATTGATACAATTTGATAAAAGTTAACTATAATAACAATACACTAAAAGGAAAAAAAATATATATGTGTTATTTATTTTGCATCGTCATAATACTTTTATTGCGTAATATGTTTTTACTTACGTACCAGACAAAATGGGTGGTGGCTGCAAAACTATCAAAAAAAAAAAAAAAATGTCATCACTTGCAAACGAGTAGACAGGTAGTTTTATTTAAGACATATATCAATCGTGATAACGCCAAATGATGTACATTTAAATAACCTAATACAAATACATTTTTGTTTAATAATTTTTTTGTACATAATGTTAAAAACAATTTTTAAGGTAATTTTTCTTGTATTTTAGGATTTTAAAATCCAAGCCCTAATAAATAGAATATACGATTCACATGTGTATAATGTATAATATTATTATATGCTTACCGAATTATCTGCGCTATACGTATTCGGTCCTGTCTATACGGTATTGTTATTGTCTGGCAATCAGTGGTCTTCGATTCTTCTTCGCCTAGACTCAAGAGATAGGACACACGTAACCTAATGATGATCGTACATATGTCATTTTTTTTGATAATACAAATTCATAACGGTTTATTAATTTAGGTAACCAAAATGCATCTGAATTAATGTTGTCAAATATAATATTATAATAACGTAAACGCAAAATAATAGGTTATAGATTTTATTTGTGAATTTATTTATATTATTTATATAATATATATTATATAATAGCTGTATTCGCTATATTCGCTGTATTAGTTTTCGACTTTAAAATAGTTTAACAATTTACCATCAAACACTGAAACACGTCACTGAGTTTATTTTTATTTAAATTTTCCTCAGTTAACGGAAATGTCGGTGTCAGTTTGTGGTCAAGGTCCAACCGAGGGGGGCAATCTGCTTTCGTGTATTTCAGCTTAAATATTATAACTACGTGAGCTAATCGGTTTAGAAGTATACTTCCGCTTACGAAAAAAAAAACAATTTTAAAATAGAAAACTTGTTATTATTATTAGTATGTATAGTAGTTTATATGGCATGTAATCAACAAAAACATATCTAAATTAAAATTGTATTCAGCAATCAGCGCCACCCATAGGAACTGATTCAAATTATTCTCTAAACATTTCTGGTACTTCTAAAAGCAGTATCTGTAACTTTTAGTTGTTTAACTATTTAAATGTTTATACTTAGGATAATAATTCTTAAAAATGGTTTTACACAGATATAATTTAGGTTTAATATTGTACCTAGTGTTTATTATACTTAACCTTTCTTACAAATTATAAATATTGATAGATTTATTAATTATTAATATTTTGAAGGCTCTATTGCCCTCATATCTTCCAAACCCACTATCATGGAACTATTATCCTTAGTACACAAAGTTCAATAACTCAAAAACTAGGTACTCATTCGAATTTTAATTTTGATACATCAACATTTTTAGAATTAATATTTGTCAAATAATGTACAGTTATTTAAAGAAAAGTTCTCATTTAAAACAAAGAAGTTTGTATCTCACTGTTTAAGTAGCACAAAAACCTTAACAATATGGAAATATGGTCTTTAAGTAGATAGGTATATTTAAAAATGTCAACAATCGGGTTTTGAATAATTGCATTATTGAATAAAAAGGGGATGAGCATGCTTGGTGAATCACTCTGTACTTAGATATAAAGATATATATGCGACTGCACCACTGTAACTTCATCTCGGTTCGATGGTTATCGATACTTGAAATATAACAACGAAAACCACTTGTTTTCTAAGTTTTTTCAGTTTGGACGATGCTCCAGATACATACCATGTCGATATATTACGCATACGCACACACAGGGTCACCTCGAAATGTTGTACTACAATTATTCATGAAGGACTCCATTTAATTCTCCTCCCCACCCCCGCCCGATTTGGGTCACTGGGATGACTGTATATGATATAAGGACGCGGATCACTATCGGAATCACATTGCGCTTCTTACAGGATAATAAAATAAACACAGAGTACATGAAATATAATATTATTGTATATAAACACGGACACACGCACAAACACGTACCTACACGTATAGTATTGTTATTATTGTGAAGGTATTATATCATATTATCATAAATATGTATGTACGCGTGCGTGCTTGTATTTATTTATTGTAAACGATCAAAATAAGTATTATAACTATAGTAATATGTACAACGGTTTCGGCGGAGACTACGCACGCATATACATCACAACATTGTAAGTATTGTTATTATTACACAGTGCTGTATAGGACGAAATATTATATGATTTATATAATTACACAGTGCTGTATAGGACGAAATATTATATGATTTATATAATATTATATTATCTATTATCTATATAAAAATGGAGACAAAAAATTCGAAATTGCATCAGTTGAGAATGGCTGGGCCAATTTTTCTCAATTTTTTTTTAAGATGTTCGTAATTGCCAGGTGAAGGTTTTTACGAAAGAAAATTTTTAAAAAGTCAACCGAATAATTATAAAAACTGCAAAAACTATTTATTGATGTCTGGGATTTGAACTCGATACCGTTGTCTTTATTTACTCTATTGTGTATTATATTATATTGGTTGCTATTGGTTAATCGGGCATGTTTGTTGATTTGTATTATTATTTTTTGTAAATATATCTTATATATAAATGAATGACGGTGTGTAGATTAGACCTATGGGAAGAAGATACGCTAATTTAAAAAGGGTTAAATTTGGTTTTTTTTATTCATCGGATTTTTGTACGTTTAGGTTAGGTTAGGATTTATAGGTAGGTGGAATTAAGTAAAAACGTCAAACTTGGTATAACTTTGGTACTTTTTGAGTTAAATCATACACTTACGTACAAACAGCACGGGGTCCGCGATCTACAGCAGGTAAATTACCTATCTGATAATGTACTGCTGCAATTCAGAATTTTTATTCCGGGCAACAGAAAAGTTAAGATAAATCTAGAACATCATACACCGAATATTAAATAACGCATTGAACAATGTTTGAGTCATATAGAGTTGGTACATTTAACGGGAAACGAAGTGCACGGGATCAGCTAGTTATGCTATAAAAACGTTACAATTAGCCGAATAATACAACACAATTTATAATATTTGATTTGCATAATATTATAATAAATATAGTATAATATCAACTGCAATTATATTATAATAATAGGTACATTACAAATAAAAGCGACGAATTTACTCGTATAACACCACATAATCGATGGCACGTCCGCCGCGATATTTAAGTGTTTTATCATACAAAATGCACGATGAGAATAACGCACTTATACTAAACCAAAAAAAAACAAACCAAAAACACGAAAATTTAAGGGCGTAAAAAAATTACTACAGTCCGTTCCGGTTCCAGATGGTGGGACGATGCCGCGCCACAGCACTACATTTCGATCGTGTGACAATAACGACGCTTCCGCATCGGATGTTGCGAGCAATTCACGACCGACGACGATCACCGACCGAACACCAAGGTGGATGCCATCCAACAGCATCCGACCGACGAGAGCCAACCGAAGACGCGGTCGTGCGACCACCGGACCGCGTCCGAGTTGAGAGAACTGTTGTCAGTCGGCAACGAGTTGAAAACGGTTTCCGATGGACCACCGTTACCACCATCGTTGTTGCCATCGTCGTAATCTGTGAGGACGAAATCGCAAAAATTCGTAATATTATATTATAACAGTTACCTATAATCTCACAGATATATTAAAAAAAGACGTGTTCTATATATATTTCTTCCACTAACTATAACTGTCATCATGGCAACCAAAAAATAAATTAATAGTTATATAATTATTAATTAAATTATCGAAACTCTAATTATAAGATTATAAATAATTAATATTTACTAACGTTTTAAATACAATTAATACACATAGGTGCTGTAATGCTTCAAGAAATACAATAGTTTCAATTAAAATCTCTTAAAATTTTCAATTAATCCTGATTTTCCGGCAATTTTTACATTGAGAAAATGCAACGTATAACTGCAAAATAACTCTAATATTGGTTGCCACAATAATTATTTGACGAAACAATTTTTGGATACCTTTTTGAGTAAATAAGGAGATTTTTAAAATGTTTAAATTTCATAATGCAAGGGGGGGCTACACTTGGGCCGTGTGGGTGAAACCCCAGGGGGTCGTCGACCGTCGTTGGCTGATGGGAAGTCTTATCCCACTTGGGGTTGGTGATCGAAGCAATCTGGGGGTTAGAGTCCCCAGTATCATAATATAACAATGACAGTTATGACTTGTGAGTCAAGGTAATTGGAACTATTGAAAGCAGTGGCTTACCGGCTATCAGTCTATAATTTAACAAGTGCGTCGTTATAGGAATGTAGAAACTTATTTTTAACGTACCAACCATCGACTGATCTCTATCTAAAGATAAGAACTCTGAAAACAGATTTTGAACTTGACGTGAGTAGTAAAGTCTACTTGATATTGAATTTCCAACATTTTTGATTTTTTTCCCTTGAGTTTAATAAAAAACAAATGAGACAAATTTTGAAGTTCCAATTTTTCCAATTCACTTTAGCGTGACTTATAATATATAGAGATGAAATCGGATGTGTGGGCAAAGTTGATTTCAAGTATAGACTTAACGATAAATGTCTATACTGCGCATGTGATGGACAGGGACAGCAAATCACCATTTGTAATCCCTTAAGGCGCCTCCGAGGGTCGCAAGTAACGAGTGTTTCGTTATGGGTTCACAGAAGCGTGTTAAAAAAAATCAATATGAGGGGCATGGAAAAATAAAAATACACTGAACACTATAAGACAGTAATGAGTAAAATAACAACGATGTCGATAGGTCATATAGATTTTTTGGCGAATATTTCTATCTGATTTATTATTTTAACGACTTTTAGAAGAATAATATCACCATGACATTTTGAGTGATTACTGACGCTAGTTAAAGTCGAATTTTTGACACGGTATGCATGTGGTTTTCCAGATCTCCTGAGTAATCGACACAAAAAGTTTAGGTATAACAATATGATAACTAACAATTCGATTGTATTCTATAGTTAAAATATTGATACGAGTATATTCCTCAAAAACAACTATGTTTTAGTTTCTAAGCTAACTGCGAACAAATCTTACGGTAATATTGTTCACTAGGAATATTGCAATAATACCGGGCTCCACCCCTAAACGCTTCCTGCAGGCTAAGGAAGTACAATGTACATATTTTAACCTATAAGATAACACCAATCTTTCGGGTGGTTTAGTATGAGCTATTTAGCAAGACATTAGTTCAAACAAACATAGGTATTTTAAAAATAATTAATGGGTGTGCGACTCACCTTTGCTATCGTCGTCTGGTTCTTCAGTAATCGCCATGGGTCTCGACGGCACTGCGATTTCTGCGAACAAAATCCAACAGTCAGTCGATTATACATCCTGTTCGGTGGTTTACACTACGGACCGTCGAACCTTAACTATATTTAGAGACGCAATAAAAGCGACGTTTATTTGTAACAATCGATCTATTTCCCTTTCCGCCCCGCCCACGCTTATAATTCTCTCTCGTAAAGCTCTCCCTTGCAAACACGCTACACTCTCTCCTCTCATCTAATACGTAAACTGACGCGGACATATATGTACATATTATATTCGACCAATGCATTTGTTTCCGTCAATTCGATCGATTACGTTTATTGTAGATAACGAAACCTCGATGTATACCTATATAATAACAATAAAGTGACGAGTATACAACTACCACTGCAGCGGCGGTAACGTTTACTGTCACAGGCCACAGCTGATGTTGAAGATTTACTGGAGTCGTCAAAAATATTGTTGTACGATATCGTTTTCATTAAATGTCCGAAATAGATTATAGCAAAGGTATTATAGATAAGTGGTTTTAGTCAGCTGCGGTAGTTAAGTTTAATCAGAGAATTTCGACAAAAACCAGTTACGAGCTAAATTAGGTTATAATATAAAGTGTTAAAATCATCGAAATAGTGTTTAATAATAATTGAAGGAAACTATTATGGTTGTAACCGATAAAACATAATATAATTGGAAAAATATTATTTTTCGATCTGTTATTATAACAAACGCTTTAAAAGTTAATCAAGCGCCTTTTTAATTTTACGGAGTGAATTACGAACAACATTTTACAGTTCAAACATTAATTGACATTTTACAGGGTTTCGGGAAACCTAATAAATTCGTGTTTTGAATAATTCATCGAAGGAAACTTGATATTATTATACTTATTATTACCACACGCAAAGTCAAAAAAACATCGTTTGCATTTTTTTTTATATACGTAAAAAGTGTAAAAGAAATATCTGACGAAAATAAAAAAATCAAATTGATGCTAGTAATGGTAATGTACGACGAAAGTTGTGTAACTTATATGGATACTAAATAATTAAAAAAATATACTAATGTTAGGAAATTCACAAAAATAATTACGTTTTAAATTAATTCACTCCGAAAAATATTGATTTTTTAAAAATTCTAAGTCAGTTATGTCTGTTACAGCCTGCATATACAATACCGTTTTATTATACATTATCTTATGGTCCTAGAATACAGTGGTAAAGACGTGAAGATATTGGTTTATCGTTTATACGATGATATTGATGTATCTTTAATATAATATAGTAGGTACTAGGTATACGCGTATATAAACTGCTTTTGTTATTACAGTATTAACAAAAAATTTAGATTCTTCTCGACAAATTGTTTTATAAGAGTATATTTATAAGACGCGACCGTTAATGTAAATGAAGAAAAGTTTATACCGAAGTATATGCATACGCAAAACCAACGGAACACCTGCACGAGCAGATGCTAAACAAAAAGTTATTGTGCCATGCATATTTTAATATTTAACCGTTTATTTGAGATTATTAGTGAAATAAGACGATATAATAATGTTATGTTGAATATAATAATATGTAATTCGTTCAAAACTTCAAAATAAACATTTGTAGCTTCAATACCAATATTATATGATATGTATAGGGAATATATGCATATACTCACTTTATGTGTCATAGTTTGAATTTTATTAATTATTAATTGTTAATTATTACTATTATAGTGTGAGACCAAAACTATTTCAACGATTGATATGAAAACATGAATTTAATTAAAATTCAATAGTGGTTTCGTCGTCATACATAAGACAAGGATGAAAAATATGAAGTTTTCATTAAACCATCAGTAATCATTCAGTATAGGTATAGTCAATAGTCATATTATATTGTACAATTATGTGACATACATTTTACAATTTTTTTTGTACCTATATTTTACTATATTATGATTTATGATTAAAGCATAAGAGTTTTCAAATGAAACATTTTACTATCTATTCCGAACTTGGGTGAATATCATCAGTATTCTGCCATCAATAGTAGCATAGAAAATACTAAATAGTAAAATACATACGAACGTGTGTAGACATTTTCACCCAGCAATCACTTCACCGATTGACATCGTACAGGCATTTATTAATAAGACATTCATCGTTCCACTTCTGGAAGCATATTTACGATCAAACAACAAGACGAATAATATTCTAACTGAACAAATACGAAATCTGAAGCTGTTTATCCGATTTACAAAGTAGGCACCCAACGGTTGTATCATCGTATAGCTACATGCCCGTCCTGCTGTATTGCGTATAAATATTATATCTGATATCATATTGTTAATTTATTATGTATATTATATTAATCCATCCACCACGTCACTGCGGTATACCTTATAAGTTAATAACTTGCATAACACACTATTCAAATATTTAATGGAAATTTACAATTACATTTTTTTTTAAATATTTAACATAAATAAATTAGCAGTGCACCTTCATTGGTTGTATCGAATTTGTAGGAGTATCTACCTATAACTATACTAAAACATTTAAAACGGTAATATATAAAAGATATAATACATCATTGATACAGGTAATAAACTAATAACTAATAATTTTCGAAAATATTGTAATCAGAAAAAAATTCCTAAAAAACAAATTTCGAACACTATTGTTATTGTTTAGACCAGTACGCACATTTGTCACACAATCAGGGTCATCAGTCACACGATGTACGACTTTGAGATAGTTTAAGTTTTAACTCACCCGTCTTCTAGTTTTTAGATCATATATTATATCACAAAACTTATATAATATTATAAGTTACCACATTAACGATATTATTGCGAGCTGTTGGAACGAAGTACCTGAAGTTTCTGAGCTATTCAAATGTATATAATTACTAAGGCTTAAAGTCCTTAAAAATGGTTTTACAAAAATAAACAAAATATCTACCTACCTAATTATATTACATTATTGTAGCTATATTATAGCCCCCGTATCTTCCAAACATATTATCATGAACTATTATCCTCAGTTGTAGGTAGGTACTTACAGTTATTAATAACTCAGAAACTTTACTGCTTTAAAATTCTGTTTATAAAATTACATAAAAAAAAACCATCTCCTTAATCATTTTACAGTAAAAAAGCAGTTGTTATCATTTGAAAATAATAAGTTTGTACTCTCACATAATACATAGTTTACATATAACTGCTTAAGATGCAACAAGTGTTTGAAAATTAGCTCATTATAACTATACCAATCCGAAAATCAGAATCAGAATAAATGCCTAAATTGGCTTGGTGAATCGGTCTGTACAATTTGACTTTGCCTATATATTTTACCTGCAACACTCGCCTGCGCGTTTGTGCTGCTCATGATCGAAAGGGTCGTCTCTGACAAGTCCGGAAATTGTCTCGTCCGCGTGCAACGACAAACGTATGGGTCACATCTCGCGGTGAATCAACCCCCCCCTCCGAAAACGCCGTTCTGACAAATTTTAAAAAACGCCAAGTGCCCGGTAAATATATAGGATAAGGTTATCTTGCTTCCGGCGGAGATCTACAAATTATACTTTAACGCCGCGTTCGAATTAATTAGTGCATGAGGTGCGACGAAAAATTTTAAACCTAACTTCGTCCTAATTTCGACCGTTTATTAATAACGTTAAGTCGAATTCACAGTTATGTCGTCTGTCATGTTGTGTCAAGTATTGAGCTCGACCCAACTCAGGAAATTTCCTGGTAGACCATGTTTGGTTAGTGATACCATGATTACCACGGCCAATCAGAACACGACAAAAGCTACACGACCTTTAAGTAGTTGTAAATCCGGGTTAACATTGTGTAACGACGTAGGTTAGCAGTGGTGATGAGTACCTGAGGGCTATGACCTACCAGCTATTTATTTATACACCACGTGTTATAAAATGTTTTGCACACGTTAAGTGTTCAATATTATAGCATGTTAATACCTAACTTCAACTCAATGCCATGTTGTTTGAAATGTTTTTTTATTATGTTTATTATTATTATTATTGTTCATTTTTAACCCGTCTCATTTCTCATATGAAATCTTGTTACGAGTGTATCCCGCGGAAAATGATATAGGGCCACAACGTCCTAAACGGTTTTATTCTCACCCCCCGAATATGTACCTATTAATGCATTTGAGGTGGTAACTGTGATTATAGCTAAGAATATTAATAATGGAAGACATCTGCAGTACAAAACGAAATATGTAAGAAACTAAGAACAATTTAAGCTATATATTGTCTGTAATGAGACGGGAAATATCTAATACGCAAATTAGGCGAATATTATAGTTACAAATTCTAAGATAAAACTGAATGCTACTAAATATTTTTCCTCTGCAAGGAATATTTAGGAACCATAGATTTGTTTTTAGGTATAGTGCAGTGGAAAAATTCTTATAACATATGCTACTATTATATTATAATAATTATAGTCATTATTCATATATTTTAATGAACTGATTAAAACTAAACTTAAACATAAAAAAAAATATGTTTTTATTCTTGATTTGCATTTCTATGGCAATAAGTAAAGCGTTGAGCAAAATCGTTGGAATAAAAATTTGAATTCTGCCCAAAAAAAAAATTACAATATCAAAAAAATACAAACATTTGTTAAAATTTGAATACAACTATTAAAATATTTTTTTGGTAATCTTGGTTACAAAAATTGTAATTATTTATTATGTCAAAGTGTTGGATGACGTATCTATACAAAATACTATTTGGAAGTTTGCGTTCGAGTTCATTATATAAAATCATATTCCATACGAGTCTACAATGAAGTACCACATTTTATGTCTTTGTTGTCCTTGGTATCATATTATGTTGCGCATATCTAGGTAATATTGTAATATTATAATATTAATGCAGTCTCACCTAACTATCGTGTGATAAGCGCGTATAATATATCGAGTTCGAATCTTTGATGAGAAAAATTATATTTTTCATTTTTTTTTTCGTAACGTAACGTTTTTCGATTTCTAATATAC